AGGTCTTTAACTTATTACTATTTACACTTTAATGCAGTAGATATAAAAAATTACATGTTTAACAACTTCCATATAAAAATGAAAAAATTATCTTCTATCTATGCAATAATTTATCTTGATTATGCACCTGACTTTCCAATGCTTATAACAGAAACTTCAATATTTAAGTAACTATTGTTAAAACGACTAAGTAATTCATTAATTACAAAACTGTAGAATAATACAAAAGTGATATGAATAAATTTGTTTCTTTTTTCTGTTACTATTTCAATATATTTGGTATACTTCTGTTTTAAATACAAATTTCGATAATGAGACGTAAAGTATATTTTAAATATAATCCCTTTATGAAGGACTATATTTTATTATTATTAAGGATTAATATATTATTATATATTTTCATAAATATACAAACCTCTGTCGTAGTTGCTTTGAAAGAAGATAGTATGTAACGGAACTGATATTGCACACAAATTTTAGGTTAAGGACTCTACAAAGGTAAACAACAAAATACGCGCGATAACTGATTATACTTACTCTTATTTACCTTATACAGCGCTGTGCCAGCTCGAGGGTGCAAAGGGCGCACTACACTCGGGCGGCGAAACACAAATATCTAATATTTATTTTATGTAGCTAATATCTAATTTGAATTATGCAGTTCAGTATAATCATTAATAATGTGGAGAGTAAGACGTCGCTCTGTGACGCACAGTGTAACGAAATCGTCAAATACTAATCATTTAAATAGTACTAACCAATAAATTCCACTTCTATTATTGTTGTAGAACAAATTTTGTAACATGACATCATATTTTGTCTATAATTCAAAAAATTTCATTTGAAAGTCTCATAACTTACATAAAATAATTTCTAGATTTTTGTTTATAGGAAAGGGTAATCTTCTTAATTTATATTGAAATACTTTTTTTATCAGGCGTTGTGCATATTTCACAAGTTCTATGCAGAATTTATCCAGAATTATGAGGTATGTTTACATTTTGCAACACATACCAACAATTCTTTTAATTCAGTGAAATATGAAATGAATAAACAGTGGGCAATTTTGCAACAGAATAATAAAAATATCAGTACTTTCACTCTGCATTAAAAGGAACACTATTTAAAACTGTTGTAACATAAATTTAAAAAATAATATTTTTCTGCAAACTAAAATCCAAAAAATAGTTTAGATGAATTTTGAAAATTTCAAATATAATTTACTGAATTATAGATAAAATATGGTTTTAAATTGTAAATACATATCTGTTTCACAATAACAATGGACGTAGAAAAGTAATGTAACAGTACAGAAACAAAAAATTATTTTTCTATCAAATGCCTAGAGTTTGACGATTTCGTCATACTGTACGACGGAGCGTTATTGAAAGATCATAATGACGTTTTTCAATTATTTAAGGGGAGACAAATAAAAGTTTGGTTTGATTTTGTTATACATATAGTGTATTTACATATAGTTGTCCCAGTTACGTGGGATCAGCGTAAGTACCTTCCAAACGGTTAGAGATGCAGACAAAATGAAAATAAGTTTATGTATTTTCATACATTATTGCCAAGGTGTCAGTCTGTCTCCCCTTATGCTAAAAACTCTCGAACCGCGTTCCCGCATTATTTCCACTCAAGGAGCTGCCCGAAACTGTACATGTAAGCAGTTCTATGAATGTTCATACAAATAGGTAAAAGTATGTAGCTATGGAAAGGGTAACTTTCCGTGAAAGGAAAGTCATTATGAAGCATGCGAACTTACAGTTCTGTATCCCTGTATTAACCCTTTCATTTCTAAATATGTTTTTGTATAAATATTGTGAGAAAAAACTTGCGGCTGCGGACTAATCAATCAAAACAGCTAATTAGCACTTAAGCTATCAGCCGCCATAAGCAAAGATTTCTGTGTGGTATAATTTTCGTTTATCTAGTAGTTTTCTAGCTTTCTGATAATTTAAATGTTCGTGGTACTTATGAGTACTATTCGGGACGAAAGGGTTAAATATCTTCCGCCGTGATATGTAGAGCTTCATTCCTTGTAGCTGTTGTCTGATATATTTGTTCGTATTACTGATATTTTACGAGTTAATTTGGTGTTCTCAATTTGGTTTCCACGGATAAAAATTTTTCAAACGAAACCTATTTTTATCTCGGAAATCATTGAAATTTTGACGCATGTTCATTACTGGTGATTTTTTACCCATTTTAGTAAGTTATTAGATACCCGAAAAAGTTCGTGCGATTTTCTTGTTAGCAATGAATTGAGGTTCGATTTCAATCAGTATTTCACTAGTTTAATGAATGAAACTGGTATTAGCAGCAACTTATGTTCATGCCATTAGTATCAAATAAAATAAAATTATTTTACAAAAACTAAATGTTCTCTGTGTTCAAATTTTGATTTAAGAGTCCGCACGAACTTTTTTCGGAACCTAGTATGTGCGCCCTTTCAATTGTGCGCAACAATTTTCAAATACCCTGTATTATATAACAGCAATTTGCAAAGAAAACTTTTGGAACTTTGTATGAAAAATTTAAAATGTAAAAATTACAAAATGCGCTAATATATTTTGCAATTTATTCTTATATAAGAGTTAATTATACTTTTATGAATGTAAAAAATAAAAGAACAATAAGAATACACATTTTTATGTATAACAGGGCTTGCAGAGGCCAGCTCATTTTATTTAGGAGGTTTATGTTCATGTCTCTTACATAAATACATATGTTTTGTGTGTTTAAAGCGATGTATACAATCTTTAGAATATCATAAATGTTCTCCACATTCTCATTCACAATTCATTGCATCAGTATACAGAGATTATATTCGCATGATCACCTAAGGTAAAGGTGACACTTGTAAAATGAGTTTTGTAAAATATGTTTGGTAGAATATATTTCTGAAAAAACACACACATACAATATAGATTTCATAAGAATCTGTTGAACGTTTCGAACACACACAATAAGAAAAGTTCACCCTGTAACTATCGGAAATTAAGTACCTTAGAATCATTAACGAACGAGATTGATTCCTTCGAAAGTTTATTTTATGCGTATCGAAATATTATGTCAAAAAATATAGTATTCAAACAAGAAACGATGTTTCCGATTTATGAAAAAAATAATTTTTTGTAATAAG